TTCATCTGACCGTAATCAAATGCCTAAAACCCCTGAGATTCCGGGGTTTCCGCACCCTCGGCCCCTAAGTCGGGCCCCTGAAAGCTTGTCTGACCGTAATTTATTGCTTTAATCCCCTGAGTCTCCGGGAGCGGACAAGGTATCAAAATATGTTCATCTGACTGCAGACGCGTCCCCCCCCCCAAAAAAAAAGGAGACATCGGCCAAAAAAAGAGAGGGGAGAAAAAGAAGAGGACGTAGGAAGAAAAATGAGCAGACAAAAAAACATTTTTGAAATTCAGACAAGGATTAAGAGTCGGGAACGTTAAAATGAATCGTCTTCTTTTTTAAATAATTTTAATGAAACGTCAAAGCTTCCGCGCTTCGCGCAGGAGGGGGGGGGGTGGGCTGAATTCAGACAAGGCTTAAGAGTCGAGAATGGTAATACGAATTGACTTCTTTTTCTAATAATTTAATAAAACGTCAAAGCTTCTGCGCTTCGCGCAGGAGGGGGGGGGGGGGGTGGGACTGAATTCATACAAGAATTAATAGTCAAGAATGGTAATACGAATTGTCTTCTTTCTCTAATGATTTAATGAAACGTAAAAGCTTCCGCGCTTCGCGCAGGAAGGAAGGGGGGGGGGGCAAATTCAGACAAGAATTAGGAGTCGAGAATGGTAATACGAATCGTCTTCTTTCTCTAATGATTTAATGAAAGGTAAAAGCTTCCGCGCTCTGCGCGGGAGGGGGAAACTAAATTCAAACGAGGATTAAGAGTCGAGAACGGTACCACAAATCGGTTTCTTTCTCTAATGATTTAATGAAACGTAAAAGTTTGGGCGCTTCGCGCGGGAGGGGGAGGGGTAAACTAAATTCAGACGAGGATTATTTTCGAGAACGGTACAACGAATCGTCTTCTTTGTCTAATAATTTAATGAAACGTCAAAGCTTCGGCGCTTTGCGGAGGAGGGGGTGGGAAAATCGCCCCTCCCTGCACCCCCCCCCCATTACGTCAATGCAGTTCACCATTACGTACCGATATTTGGGTCGCATAATTTCAAATTTGGGCCCCCCCTAAGAAATCCTGGATCCACGCCTGGTGTAGAGCTTCTCAAGCGTTGGGAGCCCCAAAGTTTGATGGTAAAACTTGACTCAAATTGTATCATAATGTGAAAGAGGATCTAATTTAAGACATATTTCTGCAAGGGTTTTCAAAACAAATGCTTTTAAAGTCGAATATTGATGAAAAAATACAAACAAATTCTGCGTACAACAGAAAACCCAGATTATTGTTCTGCTTCTAATGCAGCTAACTTAATATCAGGGTGGACTTCCCTCCTTGTATTCAATAATGAGCAGAAAAGTGTAATCTATTCCTTTTTCCATTAGACCATTTTTCTTCAACATGTCTCAGCAACAATTTTTTTATATTCTCTCAGCAAAATAAACCAACATTTCAAATATATACAGGGCGTCTATAGGTTTTTTTTGTTAACAAAACTTTAAAAAGTTACGCAAAACGTTGTTTGAATATAAAGCTAAAATCTGACCGAACGTTGCCTACCCAAGAAATCGATTTGCACAATCATGGATTGTATGTACCATTCCAATTATGTTTTCACTCCGATGGATTGATTATACTCCTTAGCATATCAAACGAGCTACAATAAACACACCGTTTGGAATAGTAGAAATGTAAACAGGTTACGTTGAGTTCTTGATTATGTGCATGACAATCAAACCTTTCTGATTATCATAATAATTAAAACACCATATGGAATAGAATCGTAAACAGGTAACCTTCGGTTCTTGATTATAAATTTGTGCATGACAATCAAACCTTTCTGATTATCATAATAATTAAAACACATTATGGAATAAAGTTGTAAGCAGGTAACCTTAGGTTCTTGATTAGTGCACGACAATCAAACCTTTCTGATTATCATAATAATTAAAACACCATATGGAATAAAATCGTAAACAGGTAACCTTGGGTTCTTGATTATAAAATTGTGCACGGCAATCAAATCTTTCTGATTATCATAATAATTAAAACACCATATGTGCATAACGATAAAAACGTCATGATTAAAATATTACTACAAACACCTATTTTACAATCTTTTTAGGTGCTCTTCAAAAAAAAAAAGATTAGAGATAAATGAGGTAAAAGTAATTATAGTTGTACAGGTTAATGCACAGAGAAATTTCAAGTTAATTGAATTGAAAGAGTGTATAATTTTAGTTATTTTGTGGAAAATTGTTGGACACCAGTGGTGGATCCAGGAGGGGGGGGGGGGGGGCCTAAGCGAATTATCGGCCGGCACTATTTTCAATTTGCGGGAGCAAAAAAAAAAAAAATTAGTGCTCACCCCATCCCTCCCCCCCCCCCCCCCCCCGGGATCGACACCCATGAACATAGAACTTGGCGGGTGCCTGAGTCATGCAAAATAGATAGTCTGTGAAGACTTTGGGATTTGGGAGAAACTTTTCATTTCTTAAGAGGGTACCATGACTCAAAAAGTTTAAATAACGCTGCTCAAGAGAAATGTATTTCTATGCATTTTGAGAAAAAAACTTACATCCTTCGTGGAAATCAGCAGCCGCACTGCCGTTGTATAACTTATATGTATTAAAGGGAAATGTTTAGTATCGAGGAAGACAACGTGCTAGTATTTGAACGAATATGGGTTCATGAACACGTACGATTCGTTGTACCGTTTTCGACTCTAAATAAGCCCTATTAATTTTGTCTGAATTCAGTTTCCCCCTCTCGCGGAAGCTTTGACGTTTCCTGAAATTATTAGAGAAAGAAGACGATTCGTTGTACCGTTCTCAACTCGTCTAAATGAAGTTTCCCCTTCCGCGCAAAGCGCGGAATTTTCGGCGTTTCATCACAATATAGAGAAGAAGATATATATAAAGGAAGACGATTCCTCGTACCATTTTCGAATTTTATTAAGCCCTATTCATCTGAATTCAGTTCCCCCCTTTGCGCGAAGCGCAAAAGCTTTGACGTTTCCTTAAATTATTAAAGAAAGAAGACGATTCGTTGTACCGTTCTTGATTCGTCTAAATGAATATTTCCCCTTTTTTTGGCGTTTCATCACAATATAGAGAAAGGAAGACGATTGCTCGTACCGTTTTCGAATCTTATTAAGCCCTATTCATCTGAATTCAATTCCCCTCTCGCGCGAAGCGCGGAAGCTTTGACGTTTCCTTAAATTATTAGAGAAAGAAGACAATTCGTTGTACCGTTCTCGGCTCGTCTAAATGAAGTTTCCCCTTCCGCGCGAAGCGCGGAATCTTTGGCGCTCCATCACAATATTCAAGTTCAAGTTGAAGTTCAAATAAGGTTTTATTCATTACTTGTCAACAAGTCCGAAGACTAAAAATGCAAGTTTACATCAATATAAAAAGCATTCAAAATCATAAAGATAACATAGCAAATGAGGACAAATATATAACAATGAATACATTTTTAAGTTAAAACATTAAAGTAGTAACAAGAAAACAAAACAACAAAAAAAGATTAAAAAAAAAATACAAGATATGAAATATTGCTAGCAAAAATGAATAAATGTTGACATATAAACAAATAAAATGTATACAGATACTTGAATTCAATTAACTGTAACATTGGAAAGACGACGATTCGTCGTACCGTTGTTGACTCTTAAACCTTGTTTGAATTTAGTTTCCCCGAAAATTTTAAACCTCTGATTTCTTTAGCTGATATTATAGGAACGCGAAACTTCGAGAAAATACAAGTATTGTAGTTGTCGTCACTCTCGAAGTCGTCACAGCGGATAAGAAGTCACAGTTCGTAGGGAAAAGAACTTGTCGGCCGGCCGACAATATACATCTCACCAACTTCAAACTTCTGCATTGATATAGTACACGAGGATCGAGCAAGAATACCGACACAGCTGACCCGACACAGCAATATATTTACCCGTGTCTTAATTCCTGCTCCCTCGACGAGACAACTCCACCCAACAACCCCCTTCTCTCTTTTACTCCCTTTCCTCCTCTCTCAGACTCTTACCTACCCTCTCTCTCCTCTCTTTCATCCCCCGTTTCTTTTGTTTCCCTTTCACTCTTTTTTCTTCTTTTTTTCTTTTCTTTCTTTCTTTCTTTTCCTTTCTTTCCTCTCCTCCCTCTTTTTCTTTTTTTCTCTTTCTTTCTTCTCTTTTCTTTCCTTCCTTTTCCTTTCTTTTGCTTTCTTTCCTTTCTTTTGCTTTCTTTCTTTTCTTTTCCTTTTCTTTTTTTCCCTCTCTTTTTTTCCCACTCTTTTTTTCCTTCTCTTTTTCTCCCTCTCTTTTTTCCCTCCCCCTTTTCTCTTTTTCCCGACGGCACTCGCAATTTTACCGACAATATCCTGACAGGTTGGGGTGTCGCACCCCCACACCCTTTGGCGACGCCCCTTGGTACATCTCAAAGCATTTTCTCACCTAGCTTATTTCAGTTTTATCTGTGTTTCATGTTTTCTCTTCATTTTTTCATTTACCTCTTTTTTTAAATTGTTTATTCTTCTTGCATTTCCCTTCTTTTTTTGGGGGGGGGGGGGGGAAGGGGGGGGGGGGGGGTGGGGGGGTGGAAGGGCGCATCGACTGCGCTTATCATTGCTTACTCGAGTATTGTTGTTGTTGTTTGTTATTATCGGCGTTTCATTCTTTTTAAAAATATTTACGCCTTTCACTAAATTCGTCCTCTTCTAAAATCATAGTTCATAAATAATATTTGCTCGGTGTTTGCTTTTATACCTTGTGATTTTGCACAACGTGCATTCCATAGAAAATAAGCCCAAGGTAATAACTGACGATGTAGGGATCGATTAATATATTAATATGTACAATCAATGTTCATAAGTTTCCATTCTAAAAGACGCAGCTAAATTGGAAAATAATTTTACGATTAGGTTAATGATTGTTTCGGTAAATAGCTATTAAAATAGAGTCTAGCCTTTTATTTTGCACATGCCCTATTTGGCTTACCATAATGCATTAGTATTGCAAGATGGCATCTGACACGGACAGTAGTCTGCTTAATGAAAGTGATATAAAACTGATGAAAATTGAGGCTGATGCAGCCGTTCAGGAAGTAGCATTTGCCGTAAAACATGTGGAAATATCTTCCAAGTTACCTGCATCAGACGATGTCGTGTATCTCAACATAGTTACCAAGGAAAATGATACTTTTTGCATCGAACTCACAGTACAAGGCTTTCGGGTGAGTGGAATCGAGTGGTCGCGGGGTCGTAGCCGGGTAGTGAAAGGCAAGCCTCTGTACCGGTATTCTTCTGCAGTGCAGTGTATGTACATGTAGATCTACATGTACGTGTGTTTTATGACTCATGATGATGATGTGTAAATGCGCCTGGATCAGTGAATGGGAAACTTGTCAGTGAATCTTGATGTTGAAATAAGAAGAAAAAACTCCAGGAGAAATCTGAATCAAATGATTTGAATAAGTCTAATTTATTAAATATTTGGCTGCCTAATTTCCATTTTCAATTTTAGTGGGGGGGGGGGGGGGGGGCATGAAGAACTTTGCACATTGACCGCTGTACAGTGAGTTTTAGACCGAATTTTCCGTCTCTTTCGTTCGTTAGCCTCTTATTGGGGTAGGGTCGGCTCTCTCTTTAGAGACCGAAACAGACTATCCCACGAAATGTGTAGGGTTATGTGGGCAAATCAGCACACCAAACTTGCAAAACTTATCCCCGAATTACTCCTTTCACAGGATGCAAATCCGATGCATTATATATTGTAAATTAGGTTAAAACTTAACTACTTCGGTTCCACTTACCAACTTGACTGAAATAATCCGTTTAATGGTCCATTTTAGGAAATTATGGGTCAAAATCGATATCCATGATGAAAATCTTGCAAGCCGTGTTAAACTCTCGCTGCCGGAGTCATCTAAATCAATCTCATCCCTTCTAGTCTACGCCGAAGGCAAAATGATTATGAAGGAAAAACTGTGCGCCATCTACACGTTCGTAATGGCGTTATCACAGTTTTTCCTTCATAATCAATTTGCCTTCGGCGTAGACTAGAAGGGATGAGATTGATTTAGATGACTCCGGCAGCGAGAGTTTAACACGGCTTGCAAGATTTTCATCATGGATATCGATTTTGACCCATAATTTCCTAAAAATGGACCATTAAACGGATTATTTCAGTCAAGTTGGTAAGTGGAACCGAAGTAGTTAAGTTTTAACCTAATTTACAATATAAAATGCATCGGATTTGCATCCTGTGAAAGGAGTAATTCGGGGATAAGTTTTGCAAGTTTGGTGTGCTGATTTGCCCACATAACCCTACACATTTCGCGGGATAGTCTGTTTCGGTCTCTAAAGAGAGAGCCGACCCTACCCCAATAAGAGGCTAACGAACGAAAGAGACGGAAAATTCGGTCTAAGTGAGTTTATGCACTCTCAATGGCCAATCCGCTTGAGTGGCTTCGAATTTAAGTGAGAGAGGACCTACTCAACTTGAGCACAACTTATTAAAGTTCGATAGCAAAGTCAATACGTATAAGTTATAACGTCACACCACAGAGATTTTGACACGTCCTGCTTTAAACAGGTGATACATATACATGTAAATGGCGCATGCACGGCATCGCAAACGCATGAAATAGAAAAATCAATGAACACCTTAGAATAAATTTCCAGTTTGTATATTACATGTAAATTATATGACGCAAAATGAGAATAATTGAAACTTAAAAAATAGTTAAGTAAAAATTAAACTTAAATGGGTCGTTTAACAATGTTAAATCTGAGATGCATGGCCCTACGTGTGATCATTGTCTGTGATATGGTGTGATATTGTTGTTATTATCATTATTATTGTTATTATTATCAGTATTATTATTACTATAATTATTATTGTTAGTATTATTATTATTATTATTATTATTATTATTATTATAATTAATTTTGATTATTATTGTTGTTATTAATTACTATTACTATTATTATTATTATTACTACCTTCGCTATGGGATTCATGATTTCTTCATAGTTTTGAGCTGCCATGTCATTTGTTCTCCATGTTTATTTATTATGTTCAATATACCCAAAGCATCACATTGACATTTGACACTGGACATGTAGCAGTCATTTCACCCTCATTTGATGGGATGAGTAATGGTGATCTATGTGCTTGAGAATTGGTGATGACTAATACACTTGTAGTGATCAATGAGATCATTGTATAGAGTACCGAAGCTGTGACGTCATAAAATCCTATTTTGAGAATTTCTCAATATTTTCTTCATTTTCCGAAAGAGCATCAAAAATAATGTCCAAATGTCGAAAACCACTTTAATATGTTAAGTATTGGCTGAGATATGACCATCTGAATAAATATATTCCCCATAGGAACTCAGTGTTATATGCTCTGGCTCCTAACCATTATGAGCCAGAGCATATAACACTGAGTTCCCATAGGACATATATTCATTCAGATGGTCATATCTCAGCCAATACTTAACTTATGCAATTCGTTTTCGACATTTGGACATTATTTTTGATGTTCTTTCGGAATATGAAGAAAAAATTGAGAAATTCTAAAAATAGATTTTTGATGACGTCACACTTCACCACTCTATGTATTGGTTGACATTGTCATAGTCAGCCTGAGAAATGAGATCATGACACCACTAGACCGTCTGCTCGGGAGCTAGAAGTACATTACATTTACATCCCTTTTGCAGCCAACATCAAATTCTGTAGAACTGTGCAGGAATTATATGTCATGTACATGTACAGTATGTCCTACATGTACATTGTATAAGATCTGTGAAATATTAGCAGTGTCCTACAGTGTATGACCGACTGACTTCTTTTTTCCTTTGGCAATAACAAAAATGAGCTATAACAGGTACTGTACATGAGCATTTGTTCTAAGAAGTTCTAAGTTTAGTATTGTTTTTCAAATGCTGTTGGAATTGAACCTTTTCATTTTTTGGGGCCTGCAAATGGGACATACTGTACATGTTAAGGGAAATCCAGCCCCAAAAGACAACTACTCTGAAAGAAAGCAGAAAAATCAGAGAAGCAAACTGATGAAAGTTTCAATTAAATCTGACTAAATTACATGTATACAAAAGTTATGAATTTTTGAAAGTTGTAAGTACATGTGTACATGTACAAGACTATGTCATTGTTGTAACTTCTGGAGCCTATTTCTTCCCTTATTCAACTTAGTCTTATGTATCATTCTTTTTTTGTTTGTATAAACGCATCCTAAAATGAGTTCAAAATGTAACATGCTATATGTAATGATGTACTATACAACATGTGAGAAATATGAAAATAAACTGAAACTGAAACTGAACTGAATGTATGTACAGTGTATGGGCACTTCACATTGGCTGAAGTGGTAATGTCAATGTGATGTAGTGCCGGACTACTTTCCCATCTGTTCCAACATATAAAATGACTAAAATTTACATTTTTCAAAAATTCATTGCTCAGGAGGGTACATTCTTTTGAGGACCTATCTATAATACATTTTGAGCAGTGCCCCAAGGGAGAAGAAAATTACAAGAAAAACAGAAATTAATGATATTTTTGTATACGGCAAATGGGAGAGTTATCCACAATCCACCGACCAAACTACCAATTTGAGATTCGAATATACATGTAGACTTTAATAGTGATCTCATATTTGAAACATTCATAACTACCTTTCTATTGCTCTGATTCATTTCACATTTTTACTATTCTGTTTCTGGTATTTTTCTGCTTTCATACAAATCAACTTATTACAAGGGTTGGATTGCCCATGAATAAAGTAAAGTTCTGGTCATGCGATTGCATTGTGAAAGAAACGGTGTGGAAACGATCAGAAAAAGTTGATCATGTACACTGTATGTATTGGTGTGTACTGCAAGGTTCTGGAATCATCAAAATGATAAGAAATTTGGCCCAGTCTTAAAGGTAACAAGCACTGTACACAGAAAGATGTTCATGTATGGGCATACACAAACATGTGGCATAAAAATGAGGCCCACATAAAGCTGTTTTAATGTTACATCATAACATATGTCATATTTAGAATATGAAGGCATTTAAAGAGCCATGATTTTCAGGGAACATTTTTTCTCTGATCTTCCACATTTGCATATTATTTTTCACCTCTCCCCAGAACTCAGCCTTCTCTTTAACATTGCAAAGCTTTAGGAAGTTCTTTCTCTGATATTCGTTATGGTCTTTACACTGATAGGCCAATGATGTGGCTCTTTAAGTTTAGCATGATGTAGTTCCTCATGGAAACATGGAGAGTCTAATAAGATTTATAGAGACATATCACAAGCTATAACGCTCTCCTGCTACATAAATCGTCCCTATTTTCACGAAGTGACGGTAGTGAATGAAAATCGCATTCACTTTGCGTGACGATTTTCCTCACTACCGTCACTTCGTGAAAATAGGGACGAAATGTACCTATGGCAAAAGATGAAGTATGTAAAAAAGATAATCAATCAAGCGTTGGGTTTATAAATAAGGGACAGCAAACTCTTGTAGGGTTTCGGATTCTACTTTGACCTACTGAATAAAATTATATTCAATTCAATTCAATTCAATTATTTTTATTCATCCAAATTCACAAGAATACATGGAAATTTGTTTTGGTCACACATTGTACAAATACGTACCGGTACATACAGGATATCGTTGTGTTTATAATCATAGAAGAATCATCAAAATAAAAGATAAGACAAGATACAATGTAGAAATATTCTCATATTCTAGTACATGTAAATACACATTGGAAATGATGTAAAGGATAGAACATCAGTGTAAAGGAGAGAAGGAAGGAAAACTATGGCAAGCCAATACCTGGGCCCGGCCACACACACGTATGCTCCTCACTCCATTTGAAACTACAAACGGAGTACGGAACATACTGTATGAGTCCAAATACATGCTCTGACTTCCGTGTCACATGCATTTTCCACAGTCCTCAAAGTGAAAGTAGTACATCACGTTTATCATTGTCAATGGTTGCATGAGAAATTTAGTCACTGCATTGATGTTCATGTATAATGCATGCTATTTTGGTAGCCTAATTGAAAGGGCAGGCATCTCTGTAATTAAGTGGTAGATGGTAATGGTTGTTTTTAATGAGATCACCTGTAGCAATCAAGAAATAAATCATTATCTCAGTAAAGATACGTACATGTACAACTGTACATGTACTTTCATACTGTAC